TACTGGAAAAATGTAATTTTTTATTACGATTTGTGATTTATTGAACCGAAATCAAGACCCAAGTACACAACCGCTGAATGATTTGCACATAGTATTTTCACTAGACAACGGATATAAGTAATATTAAACAGTTTGGCCCGAACAATGTATACCATATGCAAACACTAAAACGTATTTTCATATCTGATGATATATTTGAAGATTTTTTCACTTTATTAATAACTGCAAATCACAATTCATTACTTTATGTAACAAAATGTTATTAGTCTTATTAAAAACATTTTAAATTGTTTTTTTTTTTTTTTTTAACTAATCTAGTCGTCCACTAGTACGACGGTACGGTTAGACGGTAAGGCAATGTGATGCCAAATTGCCGACCGCTTAGAAGGTTACTGACCGAAGGCCTTCGATTACCACAGTGACTGGATGAATTTCAAAAGTGTAAATACTTTTATTTTCTGCCAATACTGGTACTTCCACAAACGATTTTGCAGCATTATTTCGTAATAATAACTACGCTGTTGATTTTCAGCTCTACTACCACAGGGTGCAGTGTTAAATTGTAGGTACTTAACTTACAATTTTTTTAACATCAAATTGAATTGTTATTAATAAAAACATCTACTTCTTACTCTATCCCGACCGAAACAACATTAATAGTAAATATATATAAATAAATAAATAAATATTTCAGGACACATTTTTACACAACATTCTCTAGTACCAAACTAAGCAAAGCTTGTACTATGGGTACTAGAAAACTGATAAACATACTTAAACATACTTTTCTTTTGTAAATAAATACATATTATACATATATTAACACTATGTTACACCCGGACACTAGAAAAATACTATGTTCATCACACAATATTTATCCAGTAGTGGGGATCGAACCCACACCCTCTGGCGCAGGAGGCAGGTACACTACCCACAACGCCATTCGGGTCGTATATATATATATATATATATATTATACTGTTATATATATATTGATATATACTGTTATATATAGTTACTAGCTGCTGCCCGCGACTACGTCTGCGTAGAGGGGTGAAAATTTAGGGTTGTATGTATTTTTGTACGCTGTATCATAAAAAAATAAAAACAAAAATTTTGTCCAAAAATTAGAAAAACATGCTAATTGTGAACAACCCTTATCCCTTAGGGGTATGAAAAATAGATAGTAGCCGAATTTTATAGGATATATTTATATAGATAGTAGCCAAATTATATTAGAATTATTTATATATTAGAAGAAGATGTATATTGATTTACTATTTCATAAATAATACTTGCGACTTTCATCAAAGTTTACCATGACTGTAGTGACAAGTCTAAATAACCGATCACAATCAATCATAAAACAATATATCATTACATCGAAATATAGAACAATCGATAACGATATCAAGTTGAAAAACACTAATGTTAAAATGACCGGTGTCTAAGTAATGAATAATAATCTGTGAACACGTTAAGTTTTAAATGCAATTAGTGTTGTACTATAGGTAAATTTTTAATTTACAAAAACTATGACAATAATATTGTTGGAAAAAGTAGAAAAATACTTTTTTGTACTCCTTGGTTTCCATCTTGGTTTAAATCCCTGCAAAGTAGATTGGTTTCGAGTGTTTACGAAAAACGATTTACTTAATATTATAAGAAAACTTCACACAAATACAACTTTCAAGAAAGAATTTTCATTCAAAGAAGTTTAAAAAATCTGTAACCTAATAAATTTACAGGTCTTTTCATCTTAGCTTCTGCACTTAAAATATAACAAAATATTTAGATAAATTGTCGACAATGTATCTTCTTCACATTTTATCATTTCTCATAAGTTTAATTAAATACCGAACCTTATGCTATTTAAGACAACCCTTTTAAGTCCTGTATATTCGCCCGATAGGAACGCCAGCAATGCTGGACGAAGAGAAAGCCGAATGCCTAGCTGACAGTCTAGAGGCCCAATGCTCCCCCAGCTTGCTTCCGACCCACCCCGATCACCTCCGTAAGGTGAACGAAGAGGTCGAAAGGAAAGCATCGGAACCACTCCGCGATCCCGTTCCCCCGGTCACGTGCTCGGAACTCGCAGAAACAATTTACGCAAAGCGCCTGGCTCTGATGGTATCACCAATAAGGTGACCAAACTTCTCCCTACTAGCATCCTTCAGATACTAGTCTTAATTTACAACGCGGCTATAACCGAAGGCTTCTTCCCGTCCGAGTGGAAAGAAGCTGACGTAATAGGGTTCCTCAAACCTCACAAACCCGCGACCCTCCCAACCTCTTATCGTCCAATAAGTCTTCTCAAAACATTTGGGAAGATCTTTGAAAGACTAATTTTAGCCCGACTAAGATCCCTTATGGACGCCAAAGGGCTCCCCATCCCTGAACAGTTTGGCTTTAGAGCCGAACATTCTTGTACCCATCAAGTGCACCGCATCACGGAGCACATACGAGTCAAACGCCAACGCGGACTCAACACCGGAGCACTCTTCTTGGACGTGGCAAAGGCCTTCGATAAAGTCTGGCACAACGGGCTCGTATACAAGTTATACGGGCTCGGAGTGCCCGATCGTCTCGTATGCATAATACGAGACTTCCTAAGTAATCGGACCTTTTACTATCGCGTCGAAGGCGTGTGTTCGACAACGCATCCCGTTCGAGCCGGAGTGCCTCAAGGGTCGGTGTTGGGCCCAGTCCTTTTTACGCTCTACACCAATGACATGCCGCGAGTCAAAGATGTAGAACTTGCCCTATTTGCCGACGACACCTGTCTCTATACAGCAGGCAGAACATCCGAAATTATCCATCGACGCCTCCAAGCTGCAGCCATCACCATCGGTGACTGGTTTCGGCAATGGAGGATCGAAATCAATCCCGCCAAGAGCGCGGCCGTCCTTTTTTCGCATAAAAACGTAGATAAACCACCCCCCGTTAAACTCATGGATAGTCCGGTACCATGGGTGAACAAAGTTAAATACTTAGGTGTCGTCCTTGACTCCCAACTTAGATTCAACCAGCACGTGACTCGGGTCAAGAACCGGGCGGCCTTCGTACTCGGTCGCCTCCATCCGCTCCTCAACAAAACGTCTAAAATGTCCCTTCGGAACAAGGTGACTCTATATAAGGCAGTAGTTCGCCCTATCATGACGTACGCGAGTCCAGTCTTCGCACACATTGCTCCGAAGCAAATACACCGGCTTCAGGTCATCCAAAATCGATTTTTGCGCAGAGCCACGGGAGCACCCTGGTACATGCGCAATATCGACCTTCATGTCGATTTAGAGTTGCCCACCATCGCTCAATTCCTGAAGTCGGCGTCGCGCCCGATACTTCGATTCCGCCGCCGCGCATCCCAACCCGCTAATCGTAGGTGCCGCCACCTACAGACCCCTGCCGCTAGGTACATTCCGCCGCAATCACCGTAGACCGCGACACGTTCTCGATTTCCCAGACGATGAGACGACTATCGCCATCGAAAGGATTAAAAAACTTCGCAAACACACCAACACAAACCGCACTCGCCGGCGAGTGCGGCAAACATATACTAGGTTCCGCCACGTACCTGGCAGGTTCTCCCCAGTTCAAGATAGAAGCGTTGCTGGATTATCTCTTCCGCCACTTCTTCTCCCAGCGCCAACGCTTTACGAAGTGGTAGTAACGATAGCTCTAGAGATCCACCCAGTCAGATAACAGCTACCGATCGAGCCGAGGTCCGGCCCTCTCGGGCACCCTCGAATCGGAATGCTAAACGCGTGTTTAGTGACAGCCCAAGCCGAGGTCCCCTCTCGGGGACCCTTGAGCCTGATCACTCCATGGAGCCCCCGCCAAAGCGCCCTAAGAGCTAGGCGGCCTCCCAAACCGGTGAATTAAACAGCGTGACGGCCCGAGCCGAGGTTCCTTCGGGAGCCCTCGAGCTTAGTCACCATAACGCGTAATAATAAATACGCGAGGTTCAGGCTATTATTAGGCGTTATATTCAGGTTCGAGGCGCCTCGAGCGCCCGGCCACCTCAAGTCCGTCGGATCTGTAAAGGCCCCTAAGGCCAACAGTGGCTCATCCAGCCCAAAAAAAAAAAAGTCCTGTATTTTGAAATCAAAAACTATCTCAAATAGCACTTACCTATTTAACTTGTAAATAATTTATATATTCAAACATCGTATTGTTACATCCATGAAATGAATGAATGAAAATACCGATTAATATTCGCAGTACAAAGAATTATAATAATTACTATGTTGGTTGTGGTGTAAAAAAATGTTGTAATTTTTCCTAACTCTTATTTTTCTAATTGTTAAGCTTAAACATAACGTAAAAATAATCGTATACAATGCCGTGCAGACTATTTAATTTATAATGTGCTTTATTTGGATAGTTATTGAAGCATCAAAATGTGTAGGTGCTGTGTACCTTTCATTCATTAGATGGATCTCTAAATTCTTATGAAATTATTTTCCTCTTAGAGGCGCGATGAAGGTTATAAAGCGAAAAGACAAAGATTTTTCTGATTTCAATCCTAATAAATGAATCGATGATTTTTGTGAAGCCAATTTCATAATTGCCGATTAGGGGGTTATGGCATTATATATTTTTTGTTGTGACAAAATTTAGAAAACCATTTGAACATAAATCCTATTTTACCTCGGTGCTGTGAAAAATATAAAGAGCGTGAAGGGAATGTAAACCGTGGTCATTTATCGAAGCTACTGGGACGCCACATTCGCCAACTAAGCTATCATGAACTGCTCGACTGTACAATCTTCTTGATAAACATACAATTATCTAGCATATTTAATTCTGTAAAGTTCAATATACTATAGTATTTTAGTAAGGGCACTGAACTAGGGCTGAATGATTAACAAAACAATTTAAATGGAGTATCAGTGCCAGCAAAATTAGACATAAAGTGCATCAATTAAATACTCGATGATGATATGGATAATGTGGATTGTACAGTCGATAATGATATTCATGGTGCAGGATGCAATTTATTGTTGTCCAACCGTTCTAACGTAGTTAACAGTATCCCCTGTTGCTTCAGTGAATGCGCGTCTCAGGCGAGCACGACGAGTCTGCGACAGGGTTTGTGGGCAGAGAAGCAGCCCCTGTTGGTTAAAAGAATCAAATCAAAGGATTCAAATTTGATTTGATTTAGTACGGGAACCGCTTTCAAGATCCTTACACAGCACGTACACGCTGGCCCTTAAGCTTACTATTTATAGATCTGCAAAAGTTGAAATTTAAAATACCAGAAAAAAAAGCCTTGTAATATAAGAGCATTTTAGCGTTTAAAATAGTAACATGGAAAATCCAAAGTAAATCTCGAATAGCAAGTATTAGTTTTTAGTGTTTTCGTATAGTAAAATTGTGGAAATAACAAGGTAAAAGAAATAACATAGGCGCTTGTTTACTTTAAAAATTACAAAATCAAGAAAAACTTAATGTTGGCTCAATAATTAATATTTAATATTTAGGTCGATTAAATAGAATGGCTATGCTGCAGCATTTTTCTATACCATATGAAGAAATGCGGAAATTGTGTGCAATTTTGTGTTGTAAATTAATGAAGGCACAAGACGAAATGTTTTTATTTTCACGTACTCTAACGTAATATTATCGCACGTATTTTGCGATAAAAAACGTTAAAAAGAAACATTTTCGATTATAAAAAATATTAACAAAAAAAAACGACATATATAACACAACTAGCCATCAAAACCGTGAAATTTTATTTACAATGAAAAACATCAAATAGCATGTCAATAGCGCCATCTATTGGTGGCTAAGATTACCTGTTTGAAAGGTCGCATTCCACCGTTGATTCTCAGCGAGTCGGCTGCTATGCCAGCGATTCCATCGCCTGGTTCCCGCAGCTGCCGTAAGGAGGCGCTAGGGTGATGATGGGCATGGTGTGGGCAGTGGGTCACGCATGCGCTGGATTCTGGCTGCGAACTCTGTCGTATGATTCGCGTACTTCCAGTCGGCAACAATAAAGCTGGAGGTTGTATGACGGGGCAAGTATTGACAGCGTGCAGCGAACTACAACCACAGTTGTAATGGAAAGCGGAGTGTACACTCTCTCTTGAAATAGATCGCGGTAGGTGCAGTGCCGACACGGGAGCCGTAGACTGCCTGCGCTCGCAGACGCGACATCTAGTATAATTGTGGGTAACTAACTGGCATGCCGTTACCGACCCTCTATGCGCGCCCGTTGCTACGGGCGATATGAGAGTTTGGGGGCGGTCTGGTGGATCTCTACATTGTAACTCTATATCGGGAACGCTCCTAACAGAATTCTCTTCGATTCTGATAGATGTTGCACTTTCCTCGCTACCTGGGCCGCCCGATAATTGAGGGCGTAGATGTGTCGTGCAATCCTGTCGCTGTAGTATTGGCTTAACACTTCTATTTTCGGTAGGCACAATGACGGTCACCGCTGGTGCCGATACTAGAAGACTTGCAGTTTCATCACTACTACCATAGCCAGAATTCGTTATAGCCTCAGTGCTGTCAGTGGTGGGTGCCGCCATTTTGAAGAGTCTGTAACAAAAGAACAAATTTTTTCATCTCTATATTATAGATATAGTTTTTTTTTTTTTTTTTCGACTGAACTGTGAGAACTGTCGTAAACATACGAATGCATGTAACTTAAACTTACTAAAGAGCGCATAACCTGTCACGCTTAGGACTTAATGAGTGCCATGAAAAAATTTTTGCACAAGCTGTCTTCATTGACCATGTTAAGGGATGAGCGATGTGTATTTTTACTTTTGTTTCGTCAAAATGAAATATGTCCACTCTAACTTTAAGTAATCTAAGACCACCCACCCAAAAATATTGTTTAATATAGATTTAGCATATAAATTCAAGCCTTTTTTGTTTGTACTTGTTCCCCTTTAATGCTGCTACCGCTCTACAGGTTTGACTAGAATTTGTTATGGAGATAACTCGCTAACTATTCTATTTTAGAAAATTTCGACATAATAATTAAGTATTCATTACACAACTAAAAAGAGTGAAAATTTTGAATTCGTGCTGCGATATACAGGGAAAACTAGAGGAAAAATCAACCTACGTACGTATTTATAGACGCAAGGATGATTGATTAACATGCGTAAATAAGAATGACATCTAGATTCATAACATTGAGTTCCATTATTGTTCCTTCGTTCTGATCGGTGTAATATAGATTACAATTCACTGTAATATTAGTTAGCAGGCGGAGGCTCTCTGCCTCTGGTGAAATCTGAGCTACACATAATCTCATTGTATAAATTGAATTGACTCATACGTCATAAAACGATAAATAAAATAAGTGGCCGAGACATTTTAAAAAGTATCAAGGAAAATGGGAGATTTCTCGTTATCTTCGTGTATATCACTTATGAACTTATATTTACTTATTTTAATTTTCATAATAGTTTGTGCAATTTTATGTTTAACTTCCACAGTGCGAAAACTATAAGTTTTCGCACTGTAAGGATTGCACTTTGTCATTTTTTTTTTTTTTATTTACATTTTTCACAAACACTTTAATTAGGCTGTAAGTACTTTTAATATCGGAACAAAACTACGTAACATAAAGGTGTTAATCGAACCTAGTATTAAGGTTGAATGTCTTAAATTACCTAAAGAAACCGTTTTTATGTTATTCAAGCCTGCATATTAAATTTTACATAACAGTACGAAAAACGCAGTAACTAGTTGGGCTCAATATCTTAGGTATTTACCCGAAACCCGGAGAGCATTTCATCTTTGTCAACTCTGTAGGGCTAAGAAATGTTATTTATATAATGAATGAATAACAAGGTTTACAAATATATCTGATTTAGTTATTAACGCCTTATGTCACTCGATCCTATTTTGAACTTCAACCCCCTTGAAGTTCAAAATAGGATAATAAATATACATACACTAATGTTAATAAGTGTATAAAAGATAAGTTTCGAAACAGAAATGTAATTAAAAACAGGCCTAATGCGAGTCAGACTCGAGCACGAAGGGTTCCGTACTACAACATAATGTACATTATCTATAAAAACGGCAAAATAAATCATGTCTTTTGTAAGGAAGCCCCACTCAAATATTTTATATTCTGTTTTTTAGTGTTTATTGTTATAGCGGTAATAGAAACATATCACCTGTGAAAATTTCAACTCACTATCATGGTTCATGAGATTGGCCTGGTGATAGATGGACAGACAGACAGATAGACAGACAGCGGAGTCTTAGTAATAGGTTCCCTTTATTCACGGAACCTTACAAAGAGAAATTATAAAGATAAAATTAAAAAAAAAAAAATTTGGTGGTGAAAATTCTAAAGCACAGAAATCTTTCTCTTAAGTGACCCATAAAACTTGAACAACACGACACTCGACTGTACTCTGGCGAATTTTGATGACGCTAATTATGACGGAAAGCATGTTCTTGAGTTTTGAAATTATTATTTTCCTACAAAATTAACGTAAAAAACTACATGTTTGGCAAAACTACAACACAAAACTATACGGTTAATTTATAAAAACACTGCAGGGGATGCTGAGATTTTAACATTTTTATTTTATCTTACTGCCACGTATCTATTTTTACTGTTTATCGGGCACTTGCAACTTGTACATATTGACTAGTCGCTGTGATAGTGGCCAGGTCTGTCTCTTTGTTTGTATAATTATAGTGGTGCGAAACATCATTCTTCCAAAAAACCACTCCGTGAATAGACAAAAGCGGTCAAATTGTTCTAAATTTCGCGCAAAGATGTATTAAAATCACTTGACGTCATAAAATTCATCCACATCAACACCGTAACTTGACAGAAACAGATATTTCCAATTTAAACTTCTTGGGAGCAGGTTTTATAAATTATGTTTTACTTAAAGTTAATTTTTACTTCACTTTCGTTTATTTTTAATATTTCTTAATTTAAATTCAATGTTGTCGGACAAAGCCTTAAAGATATGTTTTTTTTAATTATTAATGTAAGATTACTTTTGTTCTTTGAAATGCGACTAATGAAGACCGAAGGCCAGTGTAAGTGGTGCTGTGACTTAGTTTATAATATGTCCTTATGACTTCAGCTGAGGTTAATGGGCAATGATCAATACGGAAACGTGGAATTTTTAGAATTTAAACAATTATTGCAAAAATTTTACATATGAACTTTTTTTTTCTTCCTTTATTGCAGTAAGTTTTGTTTCTTAAATCGAAATTAACCAGACATTGAGGCTATCGGATAGAATCCCAGTAGCTTCTACCGATAGTGATTCTTTTTCATAAAAGGAGGGGGTTCTCAATTTGACTGTATTTTTTTATGTTTTATTCTTTTTTTATTTGAAAGATTACTTCCTGGGTGGTTCCATTTCAATTTGGTCTAGTTCTGACAACTGCATCCATGAGAAAACCATATAAGTTTTAAATTTGCATTAATTATATGCACGATAAATGGACCAATAACTCAATATAGCAAATAAACTAGTATCATCCGAATATTTTACAGGCTATCCAGATATTTGAGTCGCCTACCGTAACGTCGTCATGGTAAAGTAATTGTCGTAGTCGTATATGACGATCAATTTCTTTTCAATTCTCTCCTTAACGGTTTACAGTAAGGGAGCTGTTTTCTCATACGAGCTCAGTCAAGGCTAGGCTCATCCATATTTTAAATCACTAAAAACAAAAAAAATAAAACAAAAAAAACTGACTTCAAAAAACTCTATTAGCACTGAAAAGTTTAAAATAATACAAGTTTAATGAAATCAAATTTTTAAAACCTAATATTTTTTTATATTAATCTAAACATTTTTTTTACGTGGGGGAAATGCCTACGCATACGCGGGGCATGTCGCCCTCGCGGGGGCAAGAGCGGTTATATCGGATTCGCACCGACTAAAACCCTCACGATGTTCTACCTTTGGCAGGGCCACGGGAACGCTTTCGCACACTTCGCGTCCGTCATTAACTACTCGAATTTCACTATCTCAAGTCTAGTAAATACATTTTTTAGATAACAGATACAAATGTTACATACGTTATGTTACGGAAACCAACATACTTGGAGCATACAATACCAGTAATGTTGTTCGTAAAACAAATATTAGAGCAATCAGAAAATTGCATTGCTTTATTTTTAAAAACATTAGCGCATTTGTCTGTTAGTTCTCCTGTGTAGTAAACTTACAGAGCGGTACTCGATACTTCATGTTATTTTAATAGACAAATCGCGTGACCGACCTCGCCACACTGCTTCAACATAAACCAACCCGATGTACATTTTTGATGCGTGAAGAGTTCGATGGATACATAAAACGATCACGTTTTTTTTTTTTTCAATTTTAATATTTAACTTACAGTTAGATTTAAAATTAAAATAAAGTGTGATTTTGTAAGTGTTTTTTTTTTTCTTTATACCGTTCTAATATTCTTAATACATTTTGAGATCAACAAACACCTAAATATATATCTAAAGTCATCAAATTATATCAAATGTTATCCTATCAGTGCTTTCACTATTATTTTAATGCTTCACTTCTGCATAACACGATATGATTAAGAATACTAATTTTATGTAAGAATTTTTATTTTTTTTTTTTACTTTTGTTTTCTGGGTCATTTTTCAATGCTTAATATATCATCAGATTATTGTATACACTTGAAACTACTTATCAAGTAGGCACTTACATATTTGCCATTACTTACTTACATTACTTGCCATTACAACTTAAGAGAAATACTTTGTTTTTGGCAAAGATATTTCTCTTAGATTGGGTTAAGACAATACACGTAAACAGATTCTGTGAAATGGCTTTAAATAAGTGACCAGAAAAAAGTCTCATTTTACAGAAAATTTAAAGTAGCAATAACGAAGAGAAATGACTACAATTGGAGGAAACTCATTACAATACCTTCATTAGCATTTTTATATTTGGATGAACTACCCTCTATACTCTACGTTACGTTGATTTTTAAACACATAGCAATTATTTTTTTGGGTAATATGTAAACGTTCATCATGCCAATACTCTTATTACCCTAATGGTTATTCTTTCCATTAGTAAATTAAATTGCTGCCATGCTAACGTGTTCGTTGGTCTAAGCATTTAATCCATTGAACAGTCTGACAGTATGTTTGAATTAGGATGACTATATTGCGAAATCTAAATAAAGTAAAACAATTATGGAAAATGTAAGAGAAAATTATACTAAACAAGTTAATAGTTTTATTTTATAATTTTGTATATTTTTATTTTTCAGGTTTTTAGCTATAATTTGATCCATTAACTATTCCCTCAAAGCTAACACCAGATCTAGAATAAAATGATAATCTCCTTATCATGTCAATGTCAGATAATTTTCTAGTCACTTAGGTATTGTATTACTCTACCTAAGGTGTATACCTACCTGTACATCATTGATATGGAGTAAAAGAAGCCATGTCGATAAACGACTAGTATTAAGCGTAAATATAAGCTAATTACATTTTTTAAATGTATTTAGGCCTACTAATGTACAATCGTCAAGTGGGAAATACTCTTAC